AGAAAGAGATAGAAACATCAATGATGAGAGAGAATCATTGATTGGCTGCCTCCTGCACACCCCGTACTGAGGCTGAGCCTGTAACCCAGGCACGTGCCCTTGGCCGGAATCGAACCTGGGACCCTTCAGTCCACCGGCTGACACTTTATCCACTGGGTCAAGCCGGCTAGGGCATTAATGTTATTTTTTATAGCTGCATATATTATACTGTATGGATATCCTGTAATTGATTAACCAGTCCCTTTAATATTGGATATTGGAGTTATTTTTAAGTTGCTGATATACACATAACTGAATTAATATCCTTTTATATACATACTAGAAGCCTGTTGCACAAAGATTTGTGCAATAGGCCTTCCTTCCCCTGGCTGCTGGCACCGGTTTTCCTCCGGCACCTGGGACCCAGGCCTTTGGTCCGGCCACAGCGGGGGTTGGCTTCTCCGCTGCAGCTGCCTCTTCAATCTTCAGTCTTCACTCTTCACTCCGGCCGGAGCCTTCAGTCTTTGCTCCGCACCTGCGTATGCAAATTAACCACCATCTTTGTTGTGTTAATTTGCATAGTCACTCTGACTGGCTGGTGGGTGTAGTGGAGTGACACCAATTTGCATGTTTCTCTTTTATTAGTGTTGATATATGATATCCCAAGGATATATAAATATCCTTTTACATATATATTAAAAAATGTGTGCTTGTTCCAGAGAATCTCAAGATATCAGGGATTAGAAATAGAACTCAGAAAAACAAACAAAAAAAACCAGAAATAGAACTCATCCATTAAAAACAAAATACCTGGTAGCTTCTGCGTTGGCCCGTATGGCTCAGTTTGTTGAGCATAGTCCTGTGCACCAAAAGATCTGTTTTTTATTATTTTTTATTTTATTGTTTAAAGTATTACAAATAGTAGTACATATGTCTCCTTTTTTTCCCCCTCTGTAAAGGTCTGTGTTTTGATTCCTAGTCAGGACACATGCCCAGGGGATGTGCAGGAGGCAGCCCATCGATGTTTCTCTTTCTCCCTCTCCCTTCCTCTCTTTCTAAAATCAGTTTAAAAATTTTTAAAAATTATTTAAAAGCAAAATAGCTGCTTTTATAAAGTTTTTATATGGTTGAGAGTTTTAATAAACGTGGTTAAGAAGTTCTTTGAAGGAGGTAGACAGAAGAATTGTTGAGCTTATTAATAGGAATTTTTCCTTGAGCACAAGGTAGATATTGAGAGATTTGAAAATAAATTTATAATCCTTTAGTTTTAGATTTTATATTTTGAATTATTTTCTATCATTATAAAAATAAGCTGGACTCTCTTACTAGTTTAAGCTGAATTCCTATTGTCCTAGTATTTGATGTATTCTTTGTTTATTAACATTTTTATTCATTTTTTATTATTTTTTAAAATGTTTGTATTTATTTCAGAGAGGAAGGAAAAGGAGAGAGAGATAGAAACACCAGTGATGAGAGAGAATCACTGATCTGCTGCCTCCTGCATGCCCCCCACCGGGGATCAGGCCTACAACCCAGTCATATGTCCTGACTGGGAATCCAGCAGTGACCCTCTGGTTTGTAGGTCAGTGCTCAATCACCAAGTCACACTAGCTGGGCTATTTTTTTTTTAATTATTATTAATTTAGAGAGAAGGAGGAAGGGAGAGCAACAGAAACATTGATTGGTTGTTCCACTTGTTCATGCAATGAATGGTTAATTCTTGTCTGTATCCTGACGGGATCAAACCCCTACCTTGGCATGTTGGGAGGATGCTCTAACCAACTGAGCTACCTGGTCAGGGCTGTATTCTTTATTTTTATTGGCAGATTCAGAATTTCATTACTGAGAACTCTCCTGTTTCTTTTATAGATGAGTGCCAAACCAAATATGGAAATGCTAATGCCTGGAGATACTGTACCAAAGTTTTTGACATGCTCACAGTAGCAGCTGTAAGTTTATACGAATCTTTCTAAAGCCACAATGTATTTTCTTGCCAATAACACCTTGCATATTTTTATCTAATTGCCATCTTAGTTATATTGATATTATTATGATTCATTGGTGAATTTGGATATTC